TCTTTTCCTGCTGGTGAGCGGGGCTCCCTGGGGGGGGTTCCCGACCGGTCGAGCCGCTTTCGGGGTCCCCCCCTCGCTGGGGCTCCGGCAGGATGTGCCACCCCCAGTTTCGTTTCCCGGTCCCAGCTGCGGGGAGCGGCGGTGCGGGATGGAGCTGCGGGGGTACCAGCGGGAGGCGGTGGCCCCGGCTTTACGTGGCCGAAACAGCATCGTCTGGTTGCCCACGGGGGCTGGCAAGACCCGCGCCGCCGTCCACGTCTGTCGGCAGCACCTGGAGAACCGGCGGGGTGGCAGGGTGGCCGTGCTGGTCAACAAGGTACCCCCCCTGAACCCGCTCCCCTGCCCCATGGAATAACAGGGTGCCAGTGCTTGCTCCCGGGTGGTGGTCCCCGGGCTGGAGCTGAGCGGGTTCTGGTGGCCGCAGGTGCACCTGGTGGACCAACACGCCAAGAAGGAGTTCCATGTGCTGCAGAAGGACTTCAGGGTGACGGCCATCAGCGGGGACACCAGCCAAAAGTCCTTCTTCGCCATCATGGTGAAGGAGAGCGACGTCGTCATCTGCACGGCCCAGATCCTGCAGAACGCGCTGGCCAGCGGGGACGAGGACATGCGTGTGGAGCTGACGGGTGGGTGTGGGACCCCCAGTGCTGCTCTCCCTGGTGATCGATGAGTGCCACCACACGCACAAGGAAGCTGTCTACAACAAAATCATGCTGAATTATCTCCAGCGCAAGCTCAGTGGGCAGCAGGACCTGCCCCAGATCCTGGGCTTGACCGCGTCCCCCGGCACCGGGGGGGCGACCTCCTTTGAGGGGGCTGTGGAGCACATCCTGCAGGTAGGTCCTGCGCCCCGTCCTGTGCTAAGAGAGGGTGCAGCAGCCCCCCAGCTTCCCTTGGGGGGTCAGCGGGGTGTCCCTTGGGGTGTTGATAGCCCGGTGGGCAGGTGTTGGGCAGCTCGGTGGTGGGGGGGGGACATCCCTGACCTTGCCAGGGTACCACTGAGCACCACCTGACGGGGTTCCTGGGCTCGGGGCTGGAAGTGGGGTCTTGTCCTTCCAGATCTGTGCCAACCTGGACACTGAGAAAATCACGTCGGCGCAGGAGGAGCTGCAGCACCTGAAGAACCACGTCCCCCAGCCCCGGAAGCAGTACGACCTGTGCCAGGAGAGAGCGCAGGTGAGGGGTGGGTCCTGGGGGCCGTGTCCCTCCATCCCGTAGCACAGATCGATCCAAGGAATTGCTTGATCCAGTGCTTTGGTGCAGGGGGATCCTGCCCCCCTCCAGGTCCTGCCCTGCAAACAGCCCCTCACCCTGGGGGTGAGGGGGCTCTGGGCTGCACCTCCGAGGCTCTCCGGAGCGATGTCCCCAATTCCCTGAGTCCTGACCCCCAATCTGCTCCCAGGACCCCTTTGGGGAGCGGCTGAAGAAGGTGATGAGGTGCATCCATCAGTACATGGAGACGCCCAGCCTGTCCCAGGACTTTGGCACGCAGGTTTACGAGCAGCGCATCGTGGAGCTGGAGAAGAGAGGTGAGGAGGTGGCAGCGGAGGGTGCGGTGGGGCAGAGCCGGCGGCCCCGGTGCCCGGTGGTGACCGCGGCGTGCCCCGTCCCTCGCCAGCCGCAGAGACCTTTTGTCGCAAGAGGCGGGTGTGCGCCCTGCACCTGCGCAAGTACAACGATGCTTTGCTCATCAACGACACGGTGCGGATGATCGACGCCTTCCAGTGCCTCCAGCAGTTCTACGCCGCCGAGAGGGACATGAAGGACCCCACCGAGCAGTTCCTCGCCGCCATGTTTGAGGGTAACGGAGGTGCTGGCGGGAGGTTGGTGCCAGCTGTGTTTGGCAGGTTGGGGCAGAGACCCCCTCTGACACCCCACTCACCCACACAGAGAACAGGATGACCCTGCAGGCGCTCGCCGGGGACCGGCGCTACGAGAACCCCAGGCTGGGCAAGCTGGAGGAGATCCTGAGGGAGCACTTCCAGCCCCTGGGTGCTTCTCGTGGCATTGTTTTCACCAAGACCCGGCAGAGTGCCCACAGCCTGCTCAGCTGGCTGCAGGACACGGCCGCCCTCAACGGGCAGCACATCAGGGCCGCCGTCCTCACCGGCGCCGGCTACAGCAACCAGACCAGGCACATGACACAGGTGAGCAGAGGGTGGGAAGGACCCGGAGCTGCCCTTCACTGAATTTCACTGAATTTTAGAGTTGGAAGGGACCATAGAGATCATCTAGTACAACTCCCCTGCTGAAGCAGGATTGCCCAGAGCTTGTCAGAGCATGTTACTCAGGAGCATCCAGGCGGGTCTTGAAAATCTCCAAGGAAGGGGACTCCACACCCTCCCTGGGCAGCCTGTTCCAGGGCTCTGCCACCCTCACCGTGAAGAAGTTTCTCCTCATATTTGAGTGGAACCTCTTCTGTTCCAACTTGTGCCCGTTGCCCCTCGTCCTCTCACTGGGAACCACTGAAAAGAGTCTGGCTCCCTCCTCCTTCAACCCTCCCTTGAGATACTTGTCAGCATTGATAAGGTCTCCCCTCAGCCTTCTCTTCTCCAGCCTAAAGAGTCCCAGCTCTCTCAGTCTCTCCTCATAAGGGAGATGCTCCAATCCTTGAATCATCTTTGTTGCCCTTCACTGGACTCTTCTCTACACACTTTGTGGGTTCTACCAGGTGCTCGGAGCCCTACCCAGTTGCTGAAGTTTTATCCCCCTTTTTTCCCCCCGCCAAGAACGAGCAGCAGGACGTGATCAAGCAGTTCCGCGAGGGAACCCTCAACCTGCTCTTCTCCACCAGCGTGGCCGAGGAGGGCCTGGATATCCCCGAGTGCAACGTCGTGGTCCGTTACGGGTTGATGACCAACGAGATCGCCATGGTGCAGGTATCTGCCCAGGCTTCCTCTGGATGCTCTGCCCGGCCCCACGTGATGGGCACAGCCTGCCAGGATGCCCCAAAGCCATGGGGTGGGACATGGGGTGGGACACGGAGGCTCCTGCATCCCTTGTGCCTGCTGGCAGCTCCCTGGGGATGAGCCCAGCTTCTGGCAGAGCATCTCTGCAAAGCACAGCAGGGTGTGGACAGTGGGTCCATCCTCGCCGGGCGGTATGGAGAGGTGGTGGGGGTCACCCCATGTCCCTCCTCTGCTGACCCCAGCGTTTGGCCCTTCCCCTGCAGGCCCAGGGCCGTGCCCGCGCTGAGAACAGCGTCTACTCTGTCCTCGCCAAAGCCAACAGCAGAGAGGTCTCCCGTGAGCTGCTCAACGAGAACCTGGTGGAGCTCATGGAGAGGGCCATCAGGGCGGTGCAGGCCATGCCCGAGCAGGAGTACCGCCTCAAGGTGAGCGCTGGGCACTGCCCCGGGCACCGGCAGGGCCAGGCAGCTCTTGCTCCATCTGATGCTTGGGGACAGCCCTCTGTGCCCTGCTTTTTGGCTGCCTGCTCTCCCCTGGGGGCAGCGCTGGTTCCTGGCAGGGGCAGCATCGGGTACAACATAGGGCATCCTGCCCTGTGTTGCCCATCCTGTCCTGCCCATCCTGCTCAGCCCGTCCTGCCGCGCGGCTCGTGCTCTCCGGGATGGTGCCTCTCCCCATGGCCATGTCTCGCTGTCTCTGCTGTCCTTCTGCACCCATTGCCCTGCGCTGACCCCCCTCCTCCCCTCCATCCTGCCCCCCACTGCCTCCCCCCAGATCAGGGAGCTGCAGCGAGTGGCGGTGGCCAGCTGGCTGCTGAAGGAGGCCAGGATCAGCGAGAGGAGGCAGCTCCATGACCCCGATGACGTCTACCTCTACTGCGTCAACTGCCACACGGCCGTGTGCCGCGGCAGCGACCTCCGCACCGTGGAGGGCATGCACCACGTCAACGTCAACCCCAACTTTGGGTAGGAGCAGGGGGGTCAGCGGGGGCCAGCGGGCAGAGCCCAGGTGTCACTTGCACTAGGTGTCACCTGCACCAGCTGCCACAGTGTCCCCCCAGGATGGGGCAGGGGGTGGCAGCAGCCTGCTGCCAGCTCTTTGGTTGGGACACCGCTCCGGGGAGGTCGTGGGGGCTTTGTGGGACTGTGGTAGCACCCCCCCCTTCCCCATTTCTTTCTGTCCTCTGAACCATTCTCTTTAGAGTATCCTTCATCCCCTTCGTTTCAGGCTGTATTACAGAGTTTCCTCTGGGAAACTGCAGTTCCAGCGGACATTCAAGGACTGGGAGCCCGGCTGTCGCATCGTCTGCAGCGGCTGCAGCCAGGTGAGTGGCACAGGGCAATGTCCCCTGTCTGTGCTGGGGGGACAGGAGGGGGCCCTGCCTTGTGCCCTGGCTCCTGGCTGAGGCACGGAGCTGTGTCTCCCTTCAATGCATCCCCCCCTGGGACGTGGGTGCTGCGTGTGTGGGATGTGGACACGGGCAGCTGTCTCCAAAGGGGACATTCCCTGGGAGCGAGGAGCGTGGTCCTGCAGCCTAGGGATGCTGTGACTGTCCCCTCCTTGTCCCCCACAGGACTGGGGGATGGAGATGATCTACCGGCAGGTGAAGCTGCCCATCCTCTGCATCAAAAACTTCGTGGTGGAGACGCCGGCTGAGAAGAGGAGGTACAAGAAGTGGAGCGCCGTCACGTTCCCTATCAAGGAGTTTGACTACCTGGAGTACTGCTCCAGCATCCACAACCAGTCCTTCTAGCGCGGGCCCTGCTCAGAAGAGGACTATTCCCTGGGGACGGCGGGACCCTTCCTGTCACCCTCGGCTTGAGACCTCCTCTCCAGGTCCCCACAGACCAATGTCAAGGCTCATTCCCATTTTCTTCTCTGCACTGAGCTGCCACAGCACATCCCTCGCCGGAGCCCGTGACTGCAGGAGGGAGAAGGATGGGACACGGGGATGGGAAAGCACCCGAGTCCTTCCCTGCCCGCTGGCAGGCTCGGGGGGTGTAGGGGGGTGCAGGGGGGTGCCTCCTCAGCCCCTTTGCCACCCTGCCAGGTGACCCAGCCATTTCACATGGGCCCAGGACACAGCCTGGTGTTTCTTGGGCACCTTCCATCTGCTTTGCGAGTTCCATGGTCCTCCATTAAAAACATTTGTGTGCTCTGGGGCCGAGGGAGGTGTCAACAGTCTCCTTCCTCGCCAGAACTCGCCGTGCGCGGGCAGGTTCGAGGTGGGACAGCCCTGGCACCGGAGCTGGACCACCCCATCTCCCTCTGGAGAGCCAGACCCCATGGCACTGGCAGCTCAGGGGTCCCCGAGGGGGGGGACCTGTGAGTCCTTGGAGTCGTGTGTGTGGGGCTGCCCCAGTCCTACCCCTCCCTGCAGACCCCCATGAGCGACCCATGGCACCCAAACCTTCCCCCGGCCCAAAACGAGCCTCAGCCCCTCCGTGTGGGCTCAGTCCCGCCGGTGCCGGGGGCTCGGGGGTCCCCGCAGGGGGGTCGGGATGATGCTGCGGCCGTGGGTCCCGCATCCCCCCCCGCCGTGCTCTCCCGCCGACGGTCGCTAGAGGGAAACCCCGGCCCGGCCCGGCCGCGGGATGCGGGAGATGCCCGGGGAACCGGGGCCCGGCCCGGGGGTGCCGCCGCCGGCGAGAGGATGCTCAGCCGGTACCCGGCCGGTGGCGGGGGGGTTGCGGTGCTCTCACCCGTCGCTCCTGCCTGCCCATTCCCCGCGGGATGCGGTGCCAGCCCGGGCACTTTCCACCCCGGTAAGCAGCCCGGTTGCTCGGGGGGTGACGGGTCGCCCCGGGGGGATGCGGGGGATCGGGGGTGCCGTGCCCCATCCCGGTCCTGCCGGGCACAGGACCTCCCGGGAAGGGCGAGGAGAGGCTTTTCCAGCGGGTACTGATGGCTGCAGGTGCATTGGGACACCGGGATGCCCCCCAGAGGGATCTCTGCCCCAAACCCGGCCGCTCCCTGGGTAGCCACCCCTGGGGATGCGGTAGCCCTGGGGATGCTGTGGCCACCGGGGCTCCTCGCCGTGGGCAGCTGCTGGAGGTTACCTGCAGCGAGGATGGGTGCCCGGAGGAAGCGTGTTGCTCCTGCCTGACTTTGAAGGCAGCAGCTTCTGCCGTAATGAGGCATAGCCCAGTTTCAGGTGGAGTTAGCCCCCGGGGAAACATGAAATCAAGCTCCTGTTCATCAGAAACTGGGTAATGAGGCCGTTTGAGTTATTTGTAGCTCTCTGTGGGCTGGGATGGCCTCTCCTACCTCTCCCCAGGTAGAATCCCTCCTGCAGGGACCCCAGATCGTTTTGCTTAACTCAAATTGCCCTGATTTGTACTTAGAGAATCCAGGCTGTGAGTTAGCCTGATGGGTGCCCGCAGTGCTGGGTGGTACCATCCCTCACCAGCATAGATGGATCTTGGTTGTCCACTTTGGTTCCCTAAAAGCAGAATTTCCGCAACATTGATCCAAACTTGACCATTTTCGAGGGGGTGCACTTGACCCCATGGGATGCGGGGCCGGGACAGCATTGCTCTGTGGGACTCTTGTGGGTTTTGAAAGTGGGTCTGCTCGTTCCTCCTGGTGCATCTCTGTTTTAACCCCAACCCCCATCTGGCTTCTCCGTCCCGGGGGCTCGGTCACCTTGGGCCTGGCTGCAGGGAGCAGCTGAGCTGCAGCAATCGGTGCTGCGACCTTGGCCGGTGTCCTTCAGAGCCAGCGTCCTTCAGAGCCGGCCTCGCGTGGCTGAGTCCCCAGGCTGCCTGTGGCCAGGCCAGCTCACGTGAGGGCACAGGGACACGCATCCCTGAGACCCCTGGTAATCCTCCCTGCCTGTCTGAGCAGCCTCCTCCGAGCGTGCTGTCACCCCATCCCTCAGCCCGGGGCAGGGACAGTGGCTGCTCCCCTCTGATAAAACATTCAGGTCACTCCTGCATCGATCGGGTCTGGAATGTGCTGATAGACCAGCTTCAGAGCCACAGGGGGGCTCAAAGTCCATGCCTGATCGGGTCCAGGTGCTCTGTCTTTTTTTTTTTGGGTCTTCTGTGTGTGTGTGGTTGGACTCGGTGATCTCAGATCTCATTTCCAACCATGAAGACTCTGTCATTCTGGAGCTGTGTCCCCAGCCCTCTCCTGGCAGGCTCTGCCCGGGCATGGGCACCTCAACTTTGCTTTGCACCACTCGTCCTCCCTCTGTGGGTCAGACCCCCAGCCGGGGGGTCCAGCACCAGGCTCCTCCAAGGGGGCTGCCCCCTTCTTTGTGCCACCCCGCTCCCTCCTCCCTGCGGCACAGGGGTGCCCACCCCTCGGGCAGTGCCAGCCAGGCTTGTCCTGTGATTAAACCCTCCTGAAGCCCCACTTCATCACTCCAAGTGCCCTGTCAAATAGCTGGGCATTAGAAAGGGCTGCTGGACCGGCTCTGGCACACGGACACATCTCCTGTCAATAACCTCTGGATTTAAGCCTGTGGCTCAGAGCATCTTTGCTTATCTCAGCTCCCCAAAGCACTTACGTTCCCAACCATCAGCGCTCCCCGCCTGTAAGTGGAGACAGGCACCATTAGCCCCACAGCAAACAGCTGCTGCAGCAAGTTTTGCTGGCAAAAGTGAGGAGAAGGTGTTTTCCAGCTGCTTTTGTTGCAGGTGGGCTTCCCGCGGGCTGCCAGGCCAGGGGTGGGCAAGGGGATGGGGGCAACCCCAGGAGCACCCAACGTCCTCCTCCCCCAGCACCCCTGGTGCCTCTGTCAGCCCTGTGTGCTCACAGACCTCTCCAGAGCGAGGGCGAGGCAACGATTTATTTTTATACAGCCCATTTCATTTATCATCAGTGCATCAGAAAACGACAATTCACCTTTCAATGCACCAGCTGAAAAAAAAAACCAACAAAACCAAAACCCCTGGCTCCACTCTGCTTGGCAGCGCCTCGGATTGGCCCTTTCCCCAGGCTGGGTGTTTAGCAGAGCCTTAGAGCTCAATCTGTTTAGCTTATCGAAAAGTAGCCTGAGATGTGACTTGATTACAGTGTGGAAGTTCCTTCCCAGGGAGAAAACTGCCGGGTATTAAAGGGCTCTTTAACTTAGCTGAGAGAGGAATAATAAGAACTGAGGGCTTGGAGATAAAGCCAGACCAATTGAAACTGGAAATGAGGTGTGGGTCTGCGGGAAGGAGGGCGCAGAGAGGCTGGAGGAGGGTCCCCGGGTGCTTTACCCAAAACCATGCCCTGGCTGGACCACAGGGACCCGGGGATGGGGGTCCCAACCCCACAGGGATGCGGCTTTGGGCAGCAGCAGGATAAGCCCATTAGACCTCATTGCCCTCTACAACTACCTGAAAGGAGGTTGTAGAGAGGCAGGTGTTGGCCTCTTCTCCCAAAGGACGAACGACAAGAGCAGAGGAAATGGTCTGAAGTTGGGGCAAGGGAGATTTAGATTAGATATTAGAAAGAATTACTTTACTGAGAGAGTGGTCAGGCCCTGGAACAGCCTGCCCAGGGAGGTGGTGGAGTCACCATCCCTGGAGGGATTTAAGAAACGTATAGACATGGCTCTTCAGGGCATGCTCTAGTGCCCAAGGTTATTGGTTTATGGTGAGGTGTTGAGTGTGGGGTTTAGTTGGTGGGTGCGGTGTTTTTGGTGGGCGTTTGGTGTGGTGTGTTTTGTATTTGTTTGGTTGGGGTTTTTTTTGGGGTTTTTTGTTTGTTTTTTTTTTTGTGGATGGCCTCGATGATCTCAGAGGTCCCTTCCAACCACTAAGATTCTGTGATTCTGTGATTCTGTGAGCCCGGTGGCATCGTGGGCGAAGCAGGGTGGGGGACTGAATTTTGCTTCCCAGGCACATCTGAAGGTCTGTGTGGCGTCTGTGTCGGAGCCTGGGAACACGTCAGCCCCCGAGGTGACCTTTCCTGGGACAGCTGGAGCCTCCCGTTCTGTACCGGAGGAAATTCCAGCCTGGTGAAAACTGCTCATTGCGGAGGAACTCGATCCTGGAAACCAAAAGCCTTCTCTCCACGCCGTTCCTGCCTCCCCTCCGCTCTGGGGCTGACAGGGTGATGGAGCCCACAAAGCGCTCGGGGACGTCCCCGTCACGCTCTGCTCCGCCGTCCCCGTGTCCTGGTTTGAGGTAAAACAGAACTAATTTTCTGTTCAGTGATTTTACTTTTTGAGCTAGGCCTCTTCTGACTAACTAAACTCTGAAATTAACAGCATATTGTTCAGAAACTGTTCACTCTCACAGTGATAAGACCTGATTATACCAAGGGATGGTGAGCAGAGAGGCCCCTGCTTATACTTATTGCTATAACAACCAAGGGCAGGTAAATTTGTTATTTGCCCCGTTGGAGGGTCGGAAGCGGAAAAGCGTAGAGGGGTCACACCTGTGGGGAGGACAGGTGACCCAAAAACTGACCAACAGGGTATTCAGAATCACAGAATCACAGAATTGTAGTGGTTGGAAGGGACCTCAAAAAAAAAAAAAAAAAAAAAAAAAAAAAAAAAAAAACCCACACACAAAAAAAACCCACACAACAACACCAGCTCCCACCACCTGAACACACAACAACAACCTCCAAACCAAAAAACCATCACCCACCCACACAATACCCCACCACAAACCAGTAATCTTGGGCACTAGAGCATGCCCTGAAGAACCATGTCTACACGTTTCTTAAATACCTCCAGGGATGGTGACTCCACCACCTCCCTGGGCAGCCCATTCCAATGCTGGATAACCCTTTCAGTAAAGAAATGTTTCCTAATATCCAACCTGAGATAATATTCCATCCCATCCGCATCATGCTCAGTATAAAAGCTGAGGGATCAAAGGGTCAACTCTCTTCCTTCAATGGCCGACGTCCGAGGAGGACCCTGTCTGTTCGTCTGCCTTTGATCCCGATCCGAGTGTCCCTGACTCCAGAGCTGGAATCTGGCTCCTGTCCATCCCCGAGTCCGGCCTGGGACTTTCCCCTGCGCCGGCTGGTGACGTGATCGTCATCCTGGGAGCTTGATACGGTTTTGTATATACTGTATACATTTTTATTTTTATTTTTATTTTTTTTTTAATTTTTTCCCCTTTCTTTTTTTTTCTTATTTCATTATTTATTTATATTTTTATTAAAGCAGTTTAGTCTTTTTCTAAACTCATAGTTTTTT